AGGTAATACCAAATATCGGGGAGAAGGTGAAATAACTGCCCATCAACAGTAGAATGGATAAATTGTGGTATAGTCATTCAATGGAATACTACTTGGCTATGAAATGAACAAACTATCTACAATCTCACAAATGTAATGTTAAGCAGAAGCAGCCAGGAGTACATACTACAGGATTCCTTTGATATGAAATTCAAGAATAGGCAAAACTCATTTATAGTGATTGTTCAGAAAAAGAGTTAACACAGCAGACCTGAGGCTGCTGTCCTTAGAAAGGCCTGTTTGTTAAGGACCTTGGGCTGGTATCGGGAACTCGGTTGGTAAACGGAAATAAAACTTTTCCTAACCGATAATGCAGCTCAATGTGCCTAGACTGTTTGTGCAAACAACATGATTTATGCTGAACACCTGTCATCCCTTCTAGGAATCTGGAATTTTATTATATGCCAGGCAGAGGCTGCCTATGTGATCAGGCCCCAGTGAAAACCTTGGACACTAGGTCTCTAACGGTCTTCTCTCCACAGAAACACGGCACATGTGTTGCTACATTTCCACCACTGGGGAAAAATGGACTCTGGGTGACCCCTCATGGGAAGGAGAGAGCATAGGAAAGCCTATACATGAATTCCTTCAGACTGTGCCTGTGTCTTTTTCCCTTATGATCCAGATGTGTATCCTTACTACAATGCTGCAATAAATCTTCACTGTGGGTACAACCATATACTGAGTCCTGTAAGACCTTCTAGTGAATCTTTGAATATGGGGTGGTCTGGCCCTGCCTCAACACAGTGATGGAATAGTAGACACATTTGGGGAGGGTAACAACTGGTAGTGGGCACAAAAGAGGCTACTGAGGTGCTGTTTATGTTCTATATCTCAAACAACAATAAAGCTTCCATTCATTCTCCCTCTTTCCCCCAAAACCTAACTAATTCAAGGTATGTGAAGTCACAGTGGCTACCACTGGGGAGAATGGGATAATGGCTGGGAGGACCTTGGAGCAGAGAAGTTTGGGATGCTAGTAATACTGTATTTTTTTTAAATCCTGGTGAAATTTTCATGGCTATGTTACTCTAAAAATCCAACATGATGTACAGTTACCATCTGTGATCTTCTGTGCATATGTTTTTCGGGTTTTTTTTTTTCTTTTGAGAGAGAGAGAGAGAGAGAGAGAGAGAGAAAGAGAGAGAGAAGCTCACTCCGTTGCCCAGGCTGGAATACAATGGTGCAATCTCGGCTCACTACAGCCTCCACCTCCTGGGTTCAAGCGATTCTCCCACCTCAGTCTCCCAAGTAGCTGGGACTACAGGCATGCACCACCACGCCCAGCTAATTTTTTGTATTATTTGTAGAGATGGGGTTTCACCGTGTTGCCCAGGCTAGGCTCAAACTCCTGGGTGAAGTGATCGTCCTGCCTCGGCCTCCCAAAGTGCTAGAATTACAGGCATGAGTCACCGCACGTAGCTCTTCTGTGTATACGTTTTTACACGAATAATATTATAAAAATTATATATGACCGGGAGGCTGAGGCAGAAGAATCGCTTGAACCCGAGAAGCGGAGGCTGCAGTAAGCCAAGATCGCGCCACTGCACTCCAGCCTGGCAACAGACCGAGAGTCCGTCTAAAAAAAAAAAAAAAAAATATATATATATATATATAACCACAATAAGTCTTTTCACATATGTGTATTATGAACATGTATATGTATTTATATACATATATACCCACTTATATAATTGTCTCAAATTTTTACCAATGCCTCCCCTTTCCCAGCTCTCCCTGTCACTGTTCTGTTCCCTATACTCCAGATTCTGTAGACTTTCCCTTAGCACAGTGGAATGACTCCCCAAATCCATTTGCTTCTCTCCATTAATAACACCGTGGTTCAAGCTACCACAATTTTTTACCTGGTCTACTAGTATCTCTTCCAAACTGGTCATCCATCTGCCCTTCTCTAACCCCTTCTCCATGATGCAGAGTATTTTTTAAAGCCAATTTGAGAATGTCTCTTTCGTGCTTAAGCTTTTAGTGGCTTCTCAATACTCTCAGGATAAACAGTTGTGTTCACTTCTATCCTGGGGCTTTCCCAGTGCTGTTTACTCAGCCTACTACATTCTTCTTGCTGCTTTTTATACACT